ATATATATTAGCAGTTTACTACCTCTTGTCCTTTGTGAAATTCTTATGTTTTCTGGACTTTGGGAGTAGCATGCAGCTTGAAGAATTTTGGTGACTCAACTTTAGCTTTTTGGAGGGAAATATCCAGAATTGACTAAATCCAGCCGAGAACCAAGAAGCAGCTCTTTTCAGGTAGTGCATGTGTTGGTTTATTTAGTCTTGGAACTTGTGAGTTCTGGGGGTAATTCATAATGTGTTGTAAGGAATAAGTAAGTTCTTCTTCTTCTTTTTTTTTTTTTTTAGTAAGTTCTTAAATGGAATATATTTTCATTTGCAGTAACCAAAGAAATGTAGAAATAAGGACCGGTTATTTTAATTTGCTGCTAATTGAAAAGCAGGTTTGGCTTTATTCATGAATCACTGTAAAAACTAAATAAAGTATTCACATCAAGCATGAATTTTTTGCCAGCAAAATTTAAAACATCAAAGAAACTTCTTTCAAATACTAACAAATTTACTTCCAAACACCTATATTTATTATTTCATAAATAGGCGCAACAGATTCCATAAAAAAGATTAAATACAGACACAGTATGAAGAAACAATAATACAGAGCCATATATAAAGGTTATAATTTAGCTGTTTCCAATCTGTTTCCGCATCTAATAAGATACCAGGTAAGCATTTGGCAGCTTTATACATAAAATGACTTAAATGACATTCACTAACCATTACACAAAAAGTGTTACAAAAAAGCAACTTTTCTGCAGTACAAAATAAATGTGTTTGCGCTTTCCTTAACACTAGTTTCTTTTTATCTGATCAGTGAGACAAAGCCAATTTGTTTTTAAATTAAAATCATTTGGGAATTTTTTTCAGATATTTTGAAAATATAGAACTATTAGTTGTTTTAAAAATGAAGTAAAAATATGAATATTTGCCAATTTAACCCCTATTGTGAAATCAATAAACTGGTATAAACCAGCTTGAAATTACAATTTAGCTACAAAAACATTCACATTTTATACTCTAGGAGAGTGTAACATAGATGCTATTTACAAACTTGCTATGACTGCTACATCAAGCCATTTAAAAAGTCTTTAGTAGTTTCATATAAACACCCATTATGAAAACCAATGGAAAATCCAGGACTGTTATCCAAGACATCTACAGGTGCTAAGGCAGTTACTAGCGCGCAGCACTTCACAGCAAAAAACCAACATAAAATCTGAATGGTCCATGTATTTCCTTCAGGGAAGAAGAAAAACAATGTCCATAAAAGATTTTAGAAAATAATAAAGAAGCAAGATTATTTCTTCCAGAGTGGGTGACCCACAAGCTCAAATGGTCCTAGGTGCTTAGCAACTTGTATTTTCTAATAAAATGGAGACCTGCCTTGACTGTACAAAGCAATCCATGGTGAAAGGACTTCCCTGAATTCCTCAGTGGAAAGTAGAGGTGTTCAGATTTTCAGGTAAGGTACAGTGCTTTGTCCCTCTGCATACCCCTGTATGGAGAGAAAAGAGACCATCTTTGTAACAAGACAACATGTGCTCTGCGGGACAGAGGAGCACAATGGATTTGAGTTATGTGATCTAGCTTGAAAGACAGAGTTGGGCTTGACTAGTTAACTTACATGTAAAGCGAATCTAAATCTAAATGATTTAATTTTGGAAGGGCTAGAAAATGGTTCCAGATTTTCTGGAGCATGTTCTTCCACTTTCCTGAACCAGCAAAAACTCATTCCAGACCATGTAGTGTATTTGAAAGTCAGATTGGCTAGGCTATCTGCTATGAGCGCTGTGCACCACCAGGTGGCAATGGCCAGCCACTTACCCACTGCTGCAATAGTCATCCCAGTCCACGGGCTGCGGGGGAGGGTTTCTGCACCCTGAGCGCACATATTCCATTGCTTGGGTGACGACTTGTGCGGCTGTGGATGTAGGATTGATAATAGTCTGATAATCAGGTTGAAGAGTAAATCCCTGAGAAAGAAAAAAAAAAAAAGTTCACAAATAAGGATCAAAGTACCTTTTAAAGAAGTAAACCACCTATTTATCCATTCTTTGTAAACACTCTAGGGCTTTCTTGCTCCTGATTGTGCAAGGGCAGCCTATCAGAAGGACCCAGAAACCAAAAAATAAAACTATAAAGAATATCCTGCAACCTCATTCTTCCTATTTTTCCTTCATTTAACCATGAGTCAGTAAACCTTTAATTATATTCTTGAGCTGATAAATTGAATTGAGAAACAATTTAAAATAGAGAAGGCAACACAATCAAAACAAAGGGAAAAAGAGCTTAAATCCCTCAAAGTTTATGTTTTCTATCTAACCCAAGGATACATTAATGGTTAATCCCCAGAATATGCAACAGAATCTTTTTGAAGGATTCAGGCAGCAGGTGGCTGAGTGTTTTATTAGACTACACCTATTCACATATTGTTCTCAAAAACCTTTTTCTTCATTCAATCACAAAGAGACCATCTGCTTCTTCTTTTATTTTTATTTTTCTGTTTGCTAAAAAATTTCAGTTGTTAGACTAATATAGAGAAAGAAATGCGAAACCATTTGCCATTAGAAACCTCAGAGAGGGACAAGTGTAAGACAGAGCAAATATTTTTTAATTGAAAAGTCTATTAACTAGCAAACAATAATCAGACTTTGGGAAGATTCTTTTAATTCACTAGTATGGTGAAGTGTTGACTTTTAATCCTCGCAAAGCCATTAAGAATTCAAGGACAGAATTTGTGAAGTACACAGCTATATCTGGTAAACAAAAAGTGTTATGCAAGAAGATTTATTTTTAGCTTATCTAGTGAATTCAAGAGCAACATAAGCAAGCTTTGCTGGAAGTGACCAAAAAAAATCAACTTAATTAATCTTGTGGTTGTCTCTGCAGCAGAGTCCACCCATGGTTTTTAACCACTGAGACATCAAGAATATTTTTAATGCATCATTCTTTACTTAATTGTCCAAAGTTGTTTTTTAATATACAAGGTTATCTTCAAATTAGTTTTTTAAATTATCACATATAAACATAACAAAATTGGTTAAAAGAAGTTATAGGAAATTAAAAAGTGGAAGAAAAAATTTTAACCATTAAAGCTTTTGAAAACATGATACTATTATACTTTCCTTAAACTCAGCAGGGTAATCAAAGAATTTGTTTTTCAAAAAAGGTATTACCTTAGAGTTGTATTCATGTCTGAGTGTCCCTGTGTTCAGACTCAAAGGCAATTATCAAATGTTCTTAATTCTCAGTATTGGCTTCAAGGTATTAATTTATTTTCCAAATGGTAAAAATGTTAAGTTAATGTCCACACTTACTCTCACCAAAATAGTGAAGAAAGACAAACTTTGGAATTACGGGAATCAAATCATTGAAAAATGAATAATTCAGTCAGGCTGGCTCACACAGATGAAGGACTAGAGTTCTTATATTAACAACTGTTTTGTGAGACATAAGTTTGTCGGTCCAGACACCACTGTATCTTAACCTATATATGTCTTCTAAAAAAGGTGTAAGCTGGAGATTTAACTAGCCATTTGGGTGTCTGATCCTTGCTATGAGGAATTCTTCTTTCTCCTGAGCTTTCTAGATTTCCAACATGGAGTCTCATGGAATTTCTGTGATTTCTGGATTTCCTTCTTTAGCAAAGAGCATGCTGTTGAGAACAAGAAATATTCTCTGGGAGCTTTGTGTTTTCTACCTTTATTAAGCCCCTGCCATGAGGGCTGTTGATTTTTAAGAACCTGAGATCAGTGCTTGAAATAGTTACTGGATATTTTCAGAGTCTAGCCCATAGTAGTGGCTCAATAAATCATTTTTTGCAATAAATAAGGTTTAGTTCATACTATTTGATGCTACTGCTAAAAAAAAGCACAGAGTGGGTACATGTGTAAATGCCAGGGCATTCCTATATTTTCAATGTAAAGTTCTTCATATTGGATTTTTGTACAACCAATAAAATGTAACCTAAAGGCAAACAGGTATGAAAACAAAGATTAGTTGAAAATATCTTGAGTTAGTTGAAGGTATGGAAATATGAGACTGCAGCATGTTGATGTACACACACACACACACACCCATCATTGCCTTCTTTTATACAGTAAAAGTAGTTTCTGAAGTTGAATTAGAAAATATCAGATAAAAAGGAGCATTAAAAATTTTAAAGTCATTATATATCAATTTATAAGATCAAAATTATGTGTTGCTACAAATTTCAAATACAGAATTCAGCTCACAGTAGATCCTTGAGTTCTGATCCACCTGACATATGAACAACTTGGGTTATGACCAACATTTTCATTATAACTTAGGACCAAGTTTTTGAGATGTCACATAAATGCCAGTCAGCCATGCTCCCAGATGATCTCAGATAGATTTAACACTTTAAGTGTTTTGGAAGGAACACTACAACATACTTCCTGTGTTGGGTTAATTGAGAAATCTTGGACTAATGTATCTCTGAAGACACTGAGCTGTGCTGCATACAGGAGAGAGAGAGAGCTTGAGGGCTGTGTAGAGGAGCCTGAGCCTTCCATTGACAACTTCAGTTTCAACCAGCTCTTGGGAATAAATTGAATTTGTAAGTGAGGGGTCCAGAGAACTTCAATGTCTAAATTACATAAACCACTCACAAAAATAATCAAAGACCAAAACAAATGAGACAGAAATGGGAATAACATTATTTTACTTTCAAGTTAGAAAATAAAATATTTTCCTGAATACTACATAGAGAAATTAACTAGGCCAAACTTAGAGCTGAGTACATTTTATTATTGATGTAAATAGGAAGCAACAATGATGATATAAATTTTTTGAAAAATGTTTGCTTAGCAGCCCAATTAAACAAGACTGAATATTTTGCATGTTAATACTCAGGAGAAAAATCACCAACTGTTCTGTAGCAAGCTTGGAATTTTAAATTTCATTTTCTAGTGCCAGATTGAAATAAAAATAGAGAACATGATAAAGATTAATTTGATGTCAGATGGGATATTTGCTCTTTAATTAGATTTCTGTAGCCCTAGCAGTTTTGTTGTGCCACCATAGCAAGTCCGTAGAAACCAGAAGCACAATCAAACTGTGATTCTCATATCCACACTTTACTGGGAACTAATTTCATTTCCTGCCTGTCTGGAGAGGTATTTTCAACAGGCATCAGTGTTTTTGTCTTCACGACTGATTTATTCATCAATCTCAATGTGATTTTTTAAACCTTTAAATTACACACAAATCCTAAAGCAGCCATTTATTACACAAGGAAATTGAAAATCTGCCTGTGTGATATCTTACAAAGATTTTTTTCTTAAGGTTATAAAGGAAGTTGACAGATATTAATGATTTTTTTTCTCTTGACTTCATTCAACAATAGTGTGAGCAGAAAAAAAAAGAATCAAAAAAAGCCCATGGGTCCAATATATAAAATATTCTAGAAAGATATAAAAGTGTTACTCATGGTGGACTAAACAATTATTTTTGTAGAATATATTCATTTCAAAAGGACAATTAAAAAAGTGGAAGTGATTAAATATAAGACATTCCTTTAAAAATATAGTAGCCACTAACTCTCTTCTCTCTCCTTTTCCCTCTTTTTCTTTCCTCCTTTCTCATTACTATTTGAAGATGGAGTCATTGTCCCCGTATGAGGAGGTAAATAAATATATTTGGGAGAAAGGGGGTTTGGATCATGAGTCAGATCAAAATTTTTCCACACACAGGTCTCCATCTACTGCATAAAATCTGACTGATGCTGTGAACAATGGCCTGACAGACTATTGTGACTGTAGTAAATTAAGTGACATTCTGACAGTCTCTTTGATCTTGATTTTAGGATGATCAACTTATTCAGGCTGCCAATCACAAGCTTATGAACATATTCTCAATCAATTAAATTTTTCAAAAATATTGAATGAGGGCTGGCAAGATCAGCAGAGTAAGCATCTGCTTAGGCAAGCTCAGAGACCTGGGTTCAATCCCTGGCACCACATGATGCATTGGTCCCATTCCCAGGCGTGCTGAGCTGGCCCCTGAGACCAGGCATGGTGACATAGGCCTGTAATCCCAGCACTGGGGAGGCTGAAAACAGGTGGATCACTCATAATGATCACTGGTAATGAGACCCTGTACCAAAAACATACAAAATAAAATAAAATAAGTTGAAAGAACTAAGTTTCTGCAACACAATTCCTTCAAATGTTTGACACATCCACTACTCACTTGTGTTTTTTTGTTTTGTTTTGTTTTGTTTTGTTTTGTTTTGTTTTGTGGAACTGGTGATTGAACTCAAGCCCTTGCACTTGCCAGAGAAGCACTTATTCCACTAAGCCATCGCCCCAGTCCCTCACTTGCTTTTTAGTTGTTCACTCCTTAGTTATGTTAATCATACAGTGAAGGCATCGTAAGTGATTGCAGTCACTACAGTCTTTGTAGCAGCTTACTTTTCATTTTTAGTTCCTACCAATTTGTGTGCTATTAATAAAAAACTGAGATTGGCTTCTACCATCAGAATACTTTTTGAGGTCTATTAATAGAAATGATTTATGGAATGATAAATACTTTGTTCAATGTTCTACATGCTTTTTTCCTACTTAAGTAAGATTCTCCATGGAAAGATAATTCTCTTGAATGTTTACATGTAGGTTTTTATAATTTTCAAATATGTAAAAACCATTCAGGATCATGATCAGCTCACCTAAGATGTTAAATAGCAAAAGAGACTTTTCTGAGTGGATAAATTAGAAAATCATCTTTTCTTTAGATGGAGCATTGGCTCTTACTTGATAAGGGACCTATGCCCTTGGAATTCCTTTTTTTGGGAAGAAGCTACCCTGCACTGAAACACTATGAGTACCTGGATCCTGAGCCTGGGACCACCCTTAGGCAGGGGTCAGTCTCCCCAATGAAGATGTTGCCCCTCAACATATATATTCTTCAGGCAAATGCTATTAATGCATGAAAAAAGCAGGAATACTCAGGAGTGTCTTACGAGTGATATTGATAGAAAAGGTGAATATTTGACTTGTGAGGACAGGCCAAATAGCTCAGCGGACTAAAGCGCTTGCTTAGGCAGAGCTCAGCAGCCAGTGTTTGTTCCCCAGTGTGCAGTGCTGGCCCTGCACCTAGGATGTACTGAACTGGTGATGGAGACTGGGCCTGGTGGTACGCACCTGTAATCCCAGCGCTTGGGAGGCTGAAAACAGGTGAATCACTATGAGTCCGATCTGTGTAGTGAGACCCTGTAACCTGTAAACCCTGTACTAAATACATAAAAAATGAAATAAAATTGACCTATGAGTATGAGAATGCTACTGTAGACAAAGCAGAGAAGTAGAGTCTGGCTTTTTCATGGCATTTTTCCTAGTACATTGGTGAATTTAAGTAGGAAATCACAATATTATCAAATCTCAAGCTTAGGGACCAAGGAAGACTTCAGTGAAGAGGAGGAATCCCTTTGCCAAACATAAAAATTCTGATTTTAAGATAACCAGGTTTTAATAATCCTCAAAATCTTGAAAGAAATAGATTTCTTATAGGAAGTAGAAGGCCAACTGGACCTGCATGGGGAGAGTTAATAATTTACAAGAATGTGAGAGGAAGTTAGCCTAGTTTAAGCATTCAGGTTCTGATTTGGAACAGATCTGGATTTGAATTCTAGTTCTGACCTTGCTAGAGCATTATTCAATCCTTCCGGCTTCAGTTTCCTCATCTTTCAGATGAAGACAAATGTATTTCAGGTGTTTCTATGCTCTAAATTTTCTGATAATTATAAAGGAAATAAAATATTAAGTTATTGGGTTTATTAGTGTCAGCTATTGGAAATCCTATAGACAATAATAATAATTATTATATCTTGTGCCTACATATATCTATCTTTCTATCTCCTATTGCTCTTCCTCTGCTCAGTCCAACTACAGACTAAATTCTACAAAGGGATAGATATCAGCTCTATAGGAAACCTATATTTACATAATTACTGGAGCTCTAAGGTCAAGAGCATTTAGATTATAAAAATAAGCTGGGCTTAGTGGCATACCATGCAATCCAAGAACTGTAAGAGGCTGATGCAGGAGAATGCAAGTTTGAGACCAGCCTGGGTATTTTGTGACTTAGCAAGTCTCTGTCTTAATGTTAAGAAAGAAAGACTCTTTAGAGAACTGAAAAGAATCTAGCTTGGTGCAAAGACCTTGAGGTTATGTCCCAGTTCTCTCTCTCTCTCTCTCTCTCTCTCTCTCTCTCTCTCTCTCTCTCTCTCTCTCTCTCCCTTGCTTGCTTGCTGTCTCTGACATGCACGTGCGTGCACACACACACACACACACACACACACACACACACACAAAGATATTTGAATTTGCTTTCTTTCCTAAGTTTTAGCATTATTTTCTAATGCAAGTTATTAAGGTTTGGAATGCTTTGTTCAGTTCAGTTTATATAATTTGCTTCTAATTTTTAAATTTTGGAATAGCACCAAGATCCAAAAAGGAAAATTTATTTCAAAGAAAAGTTAAGATTGTCACAAGTGATTTCAGTAATCAAGGGTTAATGATTAGGAAAGCTTCCAAATCTCCCATGTTTTCTACTTTATGGAGGTTAGCTACTCCATTTATATATTTAAAATTTTCCCATGCTAGGAATTTAACACAGGACTTGTTACATGCTAGGCCGTTTATCATTCACCCATACCCTACAGTCCCCTGAAATATGTTTAAATAAAATGCTGCTTGAAATGTTCAGCTATTTCTACTTGGTGGGTACCATCAAACTTGCTCTTGCAGTTAATTTCATTTTGCTGCCTATTTTGGACTTAAGACATATACTGATCAAGTCATTCTCATCACCAAATAATATTTTTTAAAAACATAAAATCCTTTCTCCCAATGAGACTTATGGCATCATAAAATAACCAATATACTTTTTCAAGAGACAAAAACCAAAACATTCACTATTGAGGTAAAGCTGGTGTGTAGCAAGGGAAGGAAACCAGTACTTGTGAACAGAAGCAGTTCGGTACTAGTGGGATGGTATAATGCTACACAAATTCACTATGTGTAAATTATCATTTCAGGAAGTAGTTATCTGTACATATTTTCAAGTCTCTCCCCATTTAATAGAACAAGAGACACAGAGCTCCCCCACATTTTCCAGATCCCCAGTCCTTTAGAAGAAAGTGCTATTTCTCAGTCACTTACTTGCTGCATGGTTGGGGAGTGTAAGGCAGACTGGACCTGCATGGGGAGCTGGTTCCCAACGGGCTGTTGCATGGCGAGTGGCTGGTGTTGCTGCATGCTGAGATGCTGGTGAAGAGGTGGGCTGATCTGGAGGGGTGGCGGGGGGGACACAGCCATGCTTGCTATTGAGACAGTCACTGGCATTTGGTTATTTGGCTTGGGTGCTATATTCCTAGGGAGACTAGGATGCATGGCAGTGAGGTGAGGATTCATTCCTGGTTGTTGGTGATAGTGGGAATTTAGGTACAGAGCTGAGTGGGCCTGGCTGGGTCCATGGAACACTGACGGCTTTGAGTTGATCAGCTGAGGAGGTTGAGATGTCTTAACATCGACAGGTTCACTGTAGCTCTGTTGAAAGGAAAGAGAGCACCAAAATATGGTTGAGCTTTATTAAAACTCTGATTCCATGAGCACAATGTTCTGTGAGTTTACTAATGAGCTGTCTTGTGAACCAACACCTATGGCAATTCTTAATTCCCTTATAAAAGAAGTCTTCCATTATTATTTTTAACATAACTTATACAAGGCTGAATTTAATTCTATCCCTTTTATGAACTCTAAAACAATCTGTAATGAACCTTTGTTGTTCCTCTGACCAATGTTGAGCTCTAAACTTCTGAATCTCATCATCCTTTGAACAGAAAGATGCAGGCTGAGAAGGATATCATCGTGGTCCAAATGGGAAAAGTAGTATAAATCATTTTCATTGTAAATCATTTGTGCAGTTCTCCTGTTGATTATATGTTTAGCTTTTTCTCTTTTTATATTATGAAAGAGCTGCATCCTAGTTATATACACAAATTTGGTTGATGGAAATGGCTATGGAAATAAAACATTCTAAAATATCTTTTCTGAGTCTCATAAAATTACATTAATATATCTTCAAAGTAGTCATATAACTCATCTTGATTTTTTAAAAAAATATGTTGGTGATGAATTATTCCCCTTAATGAAGTAGATAAAAATAATCTCTCTTAGAAATATTAGGTGCCATCATAAATTGATATAACATAAATCTGCCCTAATTTTTTCCAGTTATAAGACCACTTCCTAATTATCTTTGAATTTACTTGAAAATTAGACATTTCAATGGAAGTTGAAAAGAATCAAGAAATAATATTGTGGCATTTTCTCTTGTATATGAGCCTAACTCCTACTTATGCTCAGAACAAGAGATTGATACAATAAATGGAGAAGAAAAAAAATAGGAAAAACAGACACTAATATCTTTTTGGAGAAAAATGTCATTTTTTCCAAACCAGCCTTCAAGAATGCATAGAATCCCCTTTTCTCTGAGTTATGTTGTGGTTATTCCTTTTCCAAATCACCACACACAACACACAAGCAGGCGGAGGAACTCAAGCCATTTAGCTTCATCATCACAATCAGTTTACAGTACAGTTGCTTTGGCAAAGTAACCATAAATGCAAAGAATATCAATGAGGAGGATGCTATACATGTGTCCCAACTCTGGAGATGAGGCCAGGAACAGCTGTGGTGGGAAGATTCCTTGCCCCATACACTGTTTTAATAAGACCACATCTGACACTAGCAAACTGTGCACATCTGGGATCCTATAAAATTATGAATATTTGTTGCAGAGAATACAGACAGGCACCTAAAGAATCCAAGGTAGGATCAGTGTTGATAAGGATCTGTGAGATAGAAATCCACCATTAGACTCTCTATCTTCTGCTATGACATTAAAAATACCAAAAAGTGTTATGAGCATTTTAAAGCGATGTCATAGGCCAAAGTAATTACAAAGTTTTTTTTTTAATTGAATGTAGTTCCTAAAATGTGTTTTCTTTTCTTTTTATTTACTTTAATGAGAAAAGAAAGATAAAATAGCAATGAAACGGTTTCAAATCAGGTTAATAGGATGGTTACAATAATGAATACATTGCATACTATTGTCTTCATAGTAGTTATTCAGAGGACAAGATGCAGACATAATATATTGTCTAATATTAGTACAAACTTTTATTCTCAATGAACTAAGAGAAAGTAGCTGTATATCTATCCTAACTCTCGTGTGTGTGTGTGTGTGTGTGTGTGTTTTCCCCACAACAGAATGGTCTTTTATTTACATTTTTGTGAAGTTAGCGATGTATGACACTAGTCTGCTTAACAACTGATAGCTAACCTTAACCAGACAGGAGGTTCATCTCAGGAGTGAGGTAGTTTGTTTGCTTTAGGCACTGGACCAAGTCTCACTTACAGATATTTGATCAATTTCCTGGCTTCATGGCTACCAGCGTATCCCTCATTTTATTTTGTTTTATCAGAGATGTGTGTTCCACTGCAGTTAGAGAAGCAGTACCTGGAGAAGTCTTTAAAGGACCTTTTCATACTTGAAGCCAGTCTAAAGATTGTAGGTACCTGAATTCAGCAAAATATCCCAATATAATCCAATAGTCCATACAGTAGTGGGTTATCAGCAGAACTAGCGATTGTCAGAAGTTGTTGACTTGAACCTTTTACAGCTCAGTATATTAATAGGGTATTATTTTTATACCTTGTGGTTACATTTAACAACTGAAGTTTTCAGACCAAAATTAGAGAAATAGAGGGGCTATGAGGATAGCCAATATTTTGGCCCTAGTATTTCAAGGTCAGTAAGGACTTAGGACATAAGGGAACCTGTGTTGTGACATCCTGCAACTCAGTGGTGTCCCTAATTTTCTGATCAGTGAGATTATGGGGCCACATAGGAAAGTGATTGATGATGTATAGTGTACCTAAGGAGAGTCACCTAGAGAAAAAAAAAATTTTCCCAGGCTTTCACAGAAAGCAAATTGGTCAAGCAATGGCTATGACTCATCCTGATGGCTGACACTGACAAAAGACCTACAAGGTGCTATACATGGTTTCAGGGTAAATCCTGAGGGGATGGGATTGACCTTATCAGATATAAAAGTTACATTTTTAGTTATATAGGTCTTGATTTAAAATGTGTTTTCAATTAAACAAAATCTTTAAAGTTTTTTGTTCTTTCAATTGTAAAATTCTTCTTGATATGTAGTATGGTTAATAATGCAAGGAAAAAGAAAATAGTTTAATTTAATCTGGGTAACTAGTGATTGGTTTTATATCACAACAACCTATACTATAATCAGTAATAGTGCAAAAGGACTGGAGAGATACTTGAAAGTCTAAGCATCTGCCTAGTGAACACAAGGACCTGAGTTCCATGCCTGGTACCACATTCCATGCAGGCCCTGAAAGTGGGTATGGTGGTGCACACCTGTAATCCCAGCACTGAAAAGGGTGAGTCAGATGAAGAATCTGAACTGTGTAGTAAGACTCACTATCAAACAAACAAACAAATGAAAAAGATCAGAGCAACAATAATCCCATAATCGTGAAAAGAGTATATATTTATTATGTGACTCTGTATTTAAGTCATCCAAGAGAGCACATTTGTTGTGTTTCAGTTCCTTAGCTTTTAGTCCTTCATTGAAGAAAGACTAATTTCTTACTAACTCATAGACTGTATCAACTTCATATTGGAAATAAATTTATTTCATTTAAAAATTGATACAGGTTGGTTAATTTATTTTGGCTTTTGCTGCTTTTAACCTAAAAAATTACTTTCTTATGTGAGTAAAACTATGAAATGCAAATAATTATAATAAAAGTTATTATTTAAAAAATTTACATATACCTATTTCCTAGATAATGAAGTGATTATTGGCTATAGAGATTAAAATGTTGAATCCAAACTGGACAAAAGCACAACTCTAATCTCTACTATTTTTGGGTAATGGGCAAGACATTTCCATGGAGGTAAAGTCCAATCCCCCTTTTTTCTTTTTTAAGTCCAAGCCTTTTAAAAATATTGCTATTATTTGATAAAATTTTGTAACAGGATCTTGTGTTTTTTCCCCATAATTTTATTGAGAGATAAATAGCAATAAGACAGTTTCAAATAAAATTGGTAGGAGTTTCAATAATTAACACATTGCATACTCTCTTCATAGTGGTTATTTGCTATACAAGTTGCAGACATGATACCGTATTTACAAATAACACTAGAGCAAATCCCTCTATTCATTGAATTTAAAAGAATGTAGCTATATATCTATCCTAAGCATTTTGAATACACTGATACAAAATGGACATTCATCTGTATCCCCTTTTTTGTTTAGTTCTGTCACTTGAATATTATAGATGTGTTAACTCAGCAAAATATTCCAAAAGAGTCCATTAGTCCCTAATAGTATTGGGTCTTCCACTTGATTGGCAATGCCAGAAATTGTCGACCTGAGTCCCCTACAGCTCAGCATAACACCATGGCTTTAATTCTTATACTTCGTTTTTATACTTTTCTGCTGGATGGTTAAGACAAAGATAAGGCAAGAACTGTGCAAAAAGAGTTATAGCTTTTGGGTCTAACAAGGTCAGTGAAATCCCCTCAGGGTGTATCCTGAGATCCTGTACCACAGATTATAGATCCTTTACCAGTGGCAGCCATGTGGATGAGTCAGGGCCATTGCTTGGTCAATGTGCTCTCTGTGAAAGCCTAGGAAAATGTTTTCTCCCCATGTGACTGTCCTCAGGCACACTCTACATCATCAATCACTTTCCTCTTTGGCCCCATAATCTCCTTAATCAGAAAATTTGTAACAATACTGAGTTACACAATGTTACAGTACAAGTTCTCATATGTCCTGAGTCTTAAGTGACCTTGGAAGGCTAGGGCCAGAATGTTGGCTTTCTTTGTGACCCTCCTTTTTCTCTAATTTTGGTCAGCAAACTTAGGTTGTTAATTCTCCAGAAAAGAAGCTTATTGTTATTACCATACAAACTAGGTTGTTAAGCTTAACCTCACTGTCTGTCTGAATGTCAAA